ACTTGGATCAGGTTTGCTTGCCCAAGCGCTATAAATCCAAACCATAGGCATAGAGTGTGATGAATAAAAGTACAGCTTTATATGCAAAACGCAAAACAAGGAGAGTGAGCAGCTCATACTCAAAAGGCCTGGTCTCCCTGAGATGTTCCCCATATGCCTTTTTTTTTTTTTTGATAGGTTTTTGCTATAGGACATGTGCGCTTGCCAGAAAGACAGAGAGAAACAGAGACAGAAAGCGATAAATCCCCACCCAAGTGGGGGTGGCCATGCCACAATCCCTTCTCCTCCATTATCTTCTTGGGATCTTGGTCATGCATGCACACACGCCTGACATGAGTTTAAGCCACCTGGTCCAGGACTCGAACCATGGTCAACTACAGGGGAGGCCAGCGACATAGCCATTATACCAACTGCTGGTCCCCCACGTGCCTTTGTAAAGGCAACATTGGGCAGAGGTCCCAGGCACTGATGAGTTCAGTGAATGGTTCAAGAGGGCATGATCATCTCGTGGGTCTTCTTGATTGGTGAGGCCTTAGATGATCACATTTCTCTTCAGGTTTCTGGAGCCATATAGCCTGGGGTCTTTGAGCTCACAGCCAGCAGTTTCTACCCTACAAAACATCTTAGGTATTGAAATGAAAACCTTGTCTTTCCTTTAAGTGAGAATTTTAGAGGTCAAATGGCCCTTATTTGAAACCGAACAAGGACCTCCTAATATCTTTTCTGGTGTTCCTGAAAAATAAAGTCCATTTACATTGTAATGACCTAGAGTAAGGAGTACGTCTTCAGACTTTGGTTATGATAATGACCAACTCAGACCATGAGTGAGGGCCATTTGACCTCTAAAACTCTCACTTAAAGGAAAGATAAGATTTTAATTTCAATATATAAGATGTTTTTGTAGGATGGAAACTGCTGGCTGTGAGCTCAAAGACTCCAGGCTGAATGGCTCCAGACACCTGAAGAGAAGTTAGATTATCTAAGGCCTCGCCAATCAAGAATGCCCATGAGATGATCGCGCCCTCTTGAACCATCTTGAACCAATCACTGAACTGATCATGCGCCTGGGACCTCTGCCCCTAATTTTGTCCTTAAAAACGCATGTGAGGAACATCTTGGGGAGACTGGTTCTTCTCAGCATGAGCTGCCCGCTCTCCTTGCTTTGCGCTTTGCAGTAAAACTGTACTTTCCTTCATCACACCATGTGCCTATGGCTTGGTTTCATAGCGCTTGGGTGAGCGAATCTGATTTGAGTTCGGTAACATATTCATGGTCAATGGGCCTTATATTTCAAGAACCTTAAAAATACATGGGGGGGGGCGGAGTCCCTGCTCAGTTTCAGTATTGCTGCAATGCCATCCCCTCTAGGGGGTGCTTACTGTCCCTCTGTTGAGCACACGTTCCCAGTAGCAAAAATATCCCTAAAATAAAAATAACATTTTTATTATTTTTACTTTTGCTTTCCTTGGAGGGCAACATTCCATATAACAGGTGTCCAAAGGCCTAGGGCAGTTGAAAAATATGTGGGCAGTATAGAGTCTAGAAATACCAACATGTGGGGTACTTAGAGTACATGAAGACTTTGAGATTGTGTGAGCTGGGAGACTTTTTTTTTTTCCCCCCTGAGAGATTTTTGCTATGGGTGTGTGCACTCCCCAGAGAGACAGAGAAAGACAGAATGGAAGACATCACCACCAGGGAGGATGGCCATACAGTAGTCCCTTCTCCACTCTCCTCTCAGGATTTTGGGCAAGCACCTGATTTTTTTTTTTTTTTTTTTAGAGGGTTTTTTTTTAGGGCACCT